CAATGGCAATACGCCAAAGCTATACTTGCTCCAGAACTTCCCGCCAATCTTTACAGTATTCGTGAGGCATATTATCTTTTACAAGAAAAGCTTAGCGAAACCATTCTTACTCGTGGAATATTACTTCCTCATCCACAAGATAGTTATGAATGTCTTCAAGAGCGTTTTCTTGATGCTCTAGAACTCCCAGTCCGCCCTCGGGCTAAAATCCTACGGTGTGGGCATTATATGGGTCCTAACACCACATCCTCCGACGATGACTCGGACGAAAGAGATAGTGGGTTTGGTAGTACAGGAAGGTTTAGACCCAGACCAGAAAAAGTTTGGTGCGACATTTGCCGTCGAGACGTCAGATACGAAGATGATGATCAAGACGAAGACGATAAAAGGTTCAACGTCAAAATCTTCGCAAGCAACGGCTTAATGAGAGCTGGGGCCTGGGCAGCCGCATGGCGAGAAATGGAAAGAGTAGATATCGAAATTGAACCATTTGTTCAACCATGGATGGTTGAAGATATGGAAGATTTAATCGAGAGACTACGAGAAGCGGAAGAAAGAGATGAGGATAGTTATGAAAATTATTCGGATGATTCGAGTAGAGAAAGTTTAGGATCGGAAGCTCAGAGGTTACATGAGCAGGGGATGGACAAGGTTACACTGAGACAGAAGAGAGGGGGCTTGGAAGAGAGAATACAAAGAAACGAATGGTTGGCTGCTGCTTCTAAGGCTGCGGTAGAAGAGGCGGAGAAGTGCGCGAGGGAGGCTGAAGTCTTGAGGTTGAGAGAAGAAGATTTGGCGAGAGTCAAAGAGGAAGAAGCTAGACTGTTTGAAGAAGAAGCCGAAATCTTGCGACTTCAAAAAGAATCTGAAGCAGCCCAAAAAGCGGAGGAGGAAGCTGGAAAACTTCATGTTGAAGCGGAGACTTTGAGACTTCAGGAAGAAGAAGCTGAGAAATTACGAATTGAAGCTGAAGCTGAGATTACACGGCTTGTGGAAGAAGTGAATAGAGCTCAAGAGTCAGCTGACCTGGATCCTGGGTCACCACAGCATAACGGCGAAAGCCAAGCCGCCAAAGAGCTGGAATTAAAAGCCCAAAGAATCCACGAAGAAGAAATGGCATTAGAAGAAGAAGCACGACGTATCTTCGAGGCAGAACTTGCAGAACAGAGGGTTCTTGAGGAGCGAGCTAGGGAGATTATGGAGGAAGAAAAGGCCTTGAGGAAAGCTAAGGAGGAAGAAAATATACGACAGAAAATCGCGAAACAGGAAAAGGAGGCGGAAGAAACGAGATTAAGGGATATCTATGAGAAAGCTTCAACCCGAAGCGAAACAACACAGTTTTCTTCTACCTATGCTCCTCCCTCGAAATCAAAGGCTCCTGAGAGGACAGTAGAGGGGAACGAAACACTCACGGAGCTTCTAGTCAAAGCAGCACGTGTAGCGATGCGCGATAGGAAAAATATACTCATCTTAGTTCTCAGCGTGGTAGTGCTAATCCTAGCGCTGAAACCGACCTCAACACAAGAAGTTGAAGGAAGGAAACCTGTACCGGATACCATTTTCCAGAACCGTAGGTATGAAGTTGGTCAGAGTGTCGATCAGAGAGGCTATGCTGCTTCTGAGAGTGCTTTGCCTATGAGGGAGATTGAGAGCTCGATTGGTTGGAAAGGACAGGGAAGAGATGTGGTTATCACGAGCTCAGCGCCGGCTGTAGCTCAAGGCGAGACCATCGGAGTAACAGATAAGGGGAGAAGATTGGAGATTGATGCTCCTCTTCCGAAGGAGATTAAGAAGCCTCTTCAAATTAGTGCTTCTGAAACAGAGAACCCACAGACATCAAGAGACAAGAACCCAGTCTTGGAAATTGGAATGGAGATCGAGACAACTGTGTCGAAAGATATCCCAGCCTTTAATCTTCCCACAGATGCAAGTTTTGAAACTGCAAATCTACCAGCAACCGATACAGAACCTCAAGGGGAGAATCCAAATATCGACAGTAATACCGAATCATAAATCGGGAAACACAATAACAGAAAGGAGAAGGAAAGATAAGCAAATAATGATGTGGTTCATTTGATACAGATAGGATATGTTCAGATACCTGGTTACCAGTCCTATGAGCGTGTGCATTGTTGGAGTATTTATGTAGCGGATGCGAATGAATGAATGAGCAATTATGTTGGTTAGTTAGTTGGATTGTTTATGTGATGTTGTGGTTGCGGTTATGGTTATGTTCATTTTTTTGTTTGGAAATTTGGATAGAATTTAGGATTCTTACGCTCTTTTTTTGTTTTGTCTTGGCTTGGTTTGGTCCGGATAGATGTGTGTATGATGCTGATGATTGGATTTGTCAGGATATTTGTTGGTGGTGTTTGGAATTTGAGGAATGATGAAGCTGGAAATCTTATCTTGGAGGATAATGAAAGGGAAGTGTGGAGGTAGTATGGTTGGTTGTATATATTGTTGTGGGATTTGTTTGGTTGGATGAATAAATGAGTAGGTAGTTAGACTAGTACGAAGATCAAATGAAATGAAAATAAATGAACCCCGTACATCTTTTGTTGGGGATTGTGGTACATAATGAGGATATGTCTTTATGAAGACATTGTGAGATTCTGAGATGGTTAGTATCGAGAGACCTACCTGCCTACTTGGGATCTCCAGCTAGGTATAGAAGTCTCTAATCTCATCTCATCTCATCTCGCTCATCTGGATAATATTCTCTATTAGATAATTAAATATAAAGCTCTTTCCAATCTTCTCATCTCATCTTCCTAGATAATATCCCCTACTAGCTAGCAGACTAGCTTGGGACTGCGATTAGAGTGGTGCGCTAGGGGAGTGCAAGGGGAAAATGTGTGTATTTGACGAATGAGAATTTGGACTATTGGTTGGATGGGATGGGATGATTTGTTTTCTGTTTTGTTGGTTGTTTTATTGTGATATTGTTAAATCTATGTGATGCTAAAAAGAGAAAATATTATTACGTTGTATGTGTCTGGACACAGAAGTAGAATCGAAGCTTGGAAAATGGTCGTTTAAGCTCTGAAGGATGTTTTTCTTTGAATGAAGAGGGGTAATTGGGGATTTTATCTAGGTATGGTATAATTGACAGTAGAGGATTTTTCTTAGGGTGATTGCTAGAAGGGTTGGGATCGCAAATTAGATAGATGGTGGCAGCGAAATAATTAGATAAGTATGCACATTCTAGCGAGTAGTCTGGTAAAAAATTTTTTCGAAGATCTTCGAAGTAGATGGAAGGTGATGTTCGGAAAAATCGTGAAGTTCTCAGATGTCGGGATTGCCCAAACAGATATCTTTTCATCATCGTGAAGGATCGGTGTATGTCTTCCGGATTCACTTGAATGGTGGGGATTTTATGGTCTGATAGCTCGGATGGGTACTGAAGTCTTTTTTTTTTTTTTTTGAAAGCGTATCTTCATGTCGATTTCTTGCGTCTGAAGGGTCGAGTTCCTTTTGATTCACATGAATGGGCTGTTCTAGTCATATTACATCATCGCTCTGTTACCATCCATGCTCTTGACAGTCTTCCGAAAATGATAAATATTTTCTCATTTCGCTTAGATAAGTGAAGTCCCTAGCTTCATAATGTCTATCAGAGATATGCGATCTGTATGTAGCATCCAGCGTTGCTCAATGATGTCAGAGTGATTTCCAATTCACTCAAATAGCCTCGCTTAATTTCCCAGATCTCGCCAATTCACTTTGCGAGAATCTTTCATGCATCTGTTGGCACATGCAGTGATGCCTCTATCCTTCAAACATATCACGCCATTTTGACAGTTATTAAACATATTTTCAAAATAACATGCGTACTACTATTATGGCTGATAAAATGAACTCGATTTACGTGTATTTCTCTGGATCCAGAGAGATAGTCGATTCTGGTTTTACTTCACTCCATCAATAATTTCATGTAAAGCTTTGGTATTTCTGATTCAAGTGGTGCACATAGGAATTTCATATTTTAAGCTCGAAGCTTATGAATAACTCTCTCTCAAGCTTCAACCGTGATACATCGAAGTTACGTTGATAAAAAGGAGGCTTCTGATATATCACGTGGACAGCAGTGAGTCCTGTATATATTGATTCACGGGAAAGCATAATATTTTTGTTGATATGATACTGCGTGAAGAATATGCCACGCTACCAACTTCTTCTTACTTTTTTTGATCAAGAAAGGAACGGCGTATAATTGCGGAGACGTTTTAATTTTAATGCAAGCTGTCACTAATACACCTATCGAACCCGTACAAGTGCGGAGGCGATTTAGTCGAAATATTCTTGAGTTTACTTGGCATGTAATGGCTAAGCAGTGAGCTTCTGGGTGTGTTTGAACAAGCATTGCAAGAGGGGTTCGCATGAAAGGTGGGTTATTGAGTGGCATAGTGTTGGGAATTTGAATCGATAGACTAGACTCGCTGACAAGCGTCCGAACCCATCCATTTCATTTCACTCAAATCACTTCCAGCTGTCTCTGTAAGAAAAGCTACCTCTTTGACTAACCCTCATTAATTAATAGCGCTGAATCAATAAATGCTAATGGTTTTAATCTGGCAAAAGAATCAAAAGGTATCAGATGAGAGAACAGGTGGAGATCCTCTGATCGTCCCAGCTTTATCTCATGTTGCACCCGAGATTGTCGTCCTATTGCCCCAGATATGGTAGAAGAAATGGCGAGGCTATACAAATACAGCTAGGAAAGTATACGCAACAGATTCAAACCTATTTTGAATGTTAGCCTTCCTTTTCTCACTGCTTCGTCAAGGTATTCAGCAGCGGAACAAAAAGGCTAAGCACATTGCAGCCTGGCCCGAATGGTCCGATCAAAGGTATTGAGCCGATAGCATTTTATGTCTAGCCAATAGTCATGGTACTATCAAGTGTGTGATACACACAATATCTTGTGGTCATTTAGCTAAATAATTTTGAGCAGCCACTAAGCATACAAACATAAACCGTCCTAATTTGTTACCTCCTTACTCGACGACACCCGATTTAGCAATAGCAACACGAGCTCTTGGAGTACCAGAACGAGTACCAAGTGCTTCGATTCTCTTCACAAGATCCATACCCTCAATTACCTCGCCAAACACCACGTGTTTACCATTCAACCAAGGTGTGGCTATTGTGGTAATGAAAAATTGGGAGCCGTTCCTGTTGATGGTTAGCCGTTCATCACTGACTGGCTCATGGGTACTAAGAACGGGTATCAGGAACAAAACCTACGTATTTCTGCCTGCATTGGCCATACTTAATTGACCAGGCTTCGTGTGCTTGAGCTCGAAATTTTCGTCCGCAAACGTTCTACCATAAATGGATTTTCCACCGGTTCCCTGAAGTTAGATCAGCAATTTCTCGGAGAGGAAGCAAGTGAGTAATATAACCTACGTTTCCTCTAGTGAAATCCCCACCTTGTAACATGAATTGTGGAATAATACGATGGAAAGAACTTCCAGCATATCCAAATCCATGTTGACCGGTACACAATTCACGGAAATTACGTGCAGTTCGGGGAGTGATCTTATCGTAAAGCTTGAATGTGATGCGACCCGCGGGAGCTTGGAGTTATATTAGCAAAGGACGAACCCACCAACGAGCGTAAGATCCCACCAGAATCAACAGTTATGTCAAAGAAGCAGTTCTTGCTCGAGTCGTCCCCATCTCCGGGCTTGACCAAAGGAGCTACGGGATTTGAAGTCGAGGATTGGATGAATGGGAACGAAGAAGTGATTGAGAAGAATGAAGGTGTTAAGAGATTGTAGAGAGAAGAGTTGTTTCCCTCAGACGATAGAATTGGTGACGGGTAGGCATACTTCTGAGAAGGCGTGGAAAATGGTGGTGCCATATATCTTGGTTTAGTGTCATTATGAAGCCATTGGAAGGCAGAAGTCGTTGAGAACATCTTTTTATTGGGAAAGAAAGTAAGAGCAAGCCAATTGAAGTTGTTGGAGATTGTATCAACCAGAACTCAACTATCAGCAAATGCTCGTCGATACTGCCGAATTGTTAAAGTTGGGTTACACGTGATGAAGTTGAAGCCCGTGGTTTAGCCGGTCATCTGATATCATTTCAACAATCTAGATCTCTTGATCGAACAGTTTAATTGAAACACAGGAGGTACATCGACGACAACAGCTTGGTGTTTACGACTTATTGTGACTAATTTAATTGACAGATTAAATTAAAACAGGCCAGAATCGTACCGTCTCGAATATACGTTAACGCTTAGTTCTCCCCTGAAATACAGTTTCTCCCTTTACGGACTTTCCACTCTGAGGTCTGCACATAAGCCAGATGCGATATAGTTCTGGCGCGATAACTTCCTTCAATTTTGCGAGTTCTTTTATGTCACATTTTGCATTACGGTACTCTAGGGAAAGAAGCGAGAGCGAATAATAACGAAAGCATAGGCTTTATACAATTCGCGTCCGTTATTTGTTGACTCGACGAATGTCTCAAATCCATTTCCTCTGCGAGCTTGCAACACTCTATATCATCAAACTACCTGTGCCCTTATGACGATGCTTTGGATCCACAAAGCAGTAATTCAGAATTGAGATCAGGGAATCAAATCAGGAGTCATTCCAGAAGACTTGTAATGCATTTCATAATGATAAGAAAGAGAAGCAGATGTTCCCTACGCAAGTGTGGACGGCTCATGACCAAAGGGCGACCTCCAAAAAGATCCCAAGTGGATGGTCAGAAATAGTCTTCAGTGGCTCTGTCTTTCATGCATATTTTAAGTCAGAATTCGTAAGATTTTATGGTTCTAGTAGGAACAATGCATTACACCTTCTGGGCACCAAGTCACTGTGATACCAGGCTCCAGCGTTGCAAACGGATTTTCCGTGTGGACGATCCATTCAGTATCTGGAATAGAGACACATAAATCATTTCTCCTAGTTGACGGGGAACCTGATGCGAGAAAGACTACTAGCTGGCTTGTCTCTGTCTTTGACCATGAGCCAGGGCAGTTTGGATTACCTGCGTGCCAAGGTCATTTTCTTTCAGCACACTCCTCGATGCCAGGACCTTTGAGAATTTCCCAAATGATGTTGAATGGTGCCCAGAACAAGGCTACTGACTCTCATATAAAAGTTGCAACGGCAACTGTCACGAACTCAAAGGAGTTTCCGGCGCTGATCGAGCAAATAGACAACAGTAAGGCCAGTGCCTCACCTGAGACGTTGATGATGTGGATGTTAGCGATGAAATATTACGACGAGTCAATGTTATATCACGCGTTGATTGAATAAATTGGTATCGATCAACAAGCATGGGTTTCACGAATTAGCATCGGACAGTTGATGTTGAATGTGTGAGCTGAAATTGGAGGACCAAGATAGATTTTACAAGATCGGGCTTGAACAAAGATGACATGGAATTTGAGGTGAAATATTGAACCCCATAGTTTGAGAGCTCGAAAGAGTTAGCTATCCTCTAGTTAAAAGATTGACAGACCACTTTCTATGAGGGAACGTTGATCCCCTCTTTTAGACCAGCAGAGCATTGCATCAGGTAAAAAACTGATCTATGAACGGTGGGCCTCTGCATCGTTTTTGAACGATCACATCAAAGTCGATGACATTATTGCTTTGCTCTGTTAAGACTGCTATCAATCGTAATAATGGGAGGTCGAGTGCATTGAATGCAACGGTCCTTGCAATCCATTTTCCTAAGAAACTGTTCCACGAGCCAACGGAAAAAGTCTCTCAATGCATTAAAAAATACTACCTTACAAATCATGTGCGTTCCGTACGACTCGCCTGGCAAGAAAACCCAAATCACATTATCAAATGAGGAAGAATGATTGACTGAGAGCTTCCTCGATCTCAGTGATCTCGCTTGTCCAAATCATCCCTACCGGTCCTTCACATGTGAAACCCCAAACCGCGGCAGACAAGGATACTTCCCCAGATTACCCCGCAGACATGTGTTCCTGCAGCATACTTAGCTTGTTTATTCTTTAACATATCCGTCCGAAGATAAAATTAAGCTTGCCATGCTTTTGTGCCGAAGGGACTTTGCAGGGAATTGGCTGCGGGTGACTAGTCATTGATCCTGTTCATTTGTACTTCCCCTCATCACATCATCACTGTTTATGATGAGCACCCACCAGAAAACATTGAAGGATTTCAATGCGTTGAAAGTGCCTAAAAGCTGCAGATATTTGTTGTCTGGTTGCTTGCCGATCGATATCCATTGAGAGAGTGAGAGATAACAATGGATTTATCCGATCTGGGATATATAATGCGGATACGCATAAGTGTATGAGATCGTCGAAATTTTTCTAAAAGCTTTCCTCGTCATTATCTACCTCTAATTCTTCATACTTACACCCAAAGTTTCATTTCAAAATGCGTTTTACTATTCTCCCCGTGTTCTTCCTCGCCTCCAAAGTCCTTTGTGATGGCCAAGCGATCGTAGATGCCATTTCGGAAATCTCAAATACAACCACCTCTCTCAACCAAACAGTTTCTAGTGTATGTCACATTTCCCCTCCCGATCTTCCCATCATTATCATATTCTATTCATCCATCCCTCCAACTAACTCTCTCCCCTCCTCTCTCCAGTGGTCCGGCAGTCTTCTAACCTCCTTTCCAATCGTCACCCTCTCCGCCAAACTTCTCATCGACATCAACACCGGCACCTGGGTCGCTTCTTCCTCCGCAAATCTCACCTTGATTGAAACCATCACCATCGCCACCGCGACGCAAAACCTCGTCACAGTAGTAGAGGGAACTCTCGATACGATCGTATCTGCCAAACCCAAATTCGACAAACTACTCTTCAGTCCGCTTATCTTGTTGAATTTGGTGGAGGAGAAGAGTGCGACGGATAGTTTTAGTGCGAAGATCATTGAGAAGATTCCGGCAGCTTTTCAGGAAACAGCGAGGTTCGTTGGATTTTTTGATAAATCTCTGACCTCATATTTGACTAGAGGGTTTGGGAACTGATTTGTGATAGAACTATTGTGGCGCCTGTTGATACGGCGTTTGATGCGGCTATTGCGGATTATAAGTTCTTATGAGAAGATGAATAAGGACGGAAGAAATGGTGATTGTTGGATTGATAAAGGGACGTTGGAGGCGAGAAAGGGAGTGGAGAGAAACTAGGGGGGTGAAGCGGTTTTTGTAAACTTCTTGGGTTCGAAATCAATCTTAGGTGACAAAATTTAGTACTGGCGACATTGATACGTGAAGGAATATTTCTTGCGTATTCAATATGGAGATATTATGTATGCATTTGTTGATTTCAATTTCCTAGGCTGGATCTCATCTCTCCATCCCTCTCGTCCATATTGCATTTAGATATACTAGTCACCATAAACCAACACAATGTGCACAGAAGACTCCTGTCCAGCACTTGCAGGACCTAGCTTCCAGAATTTCACCATCATTAGTGTAAGATCTCATATCCATACTTGATTAATACACTCAATTATATTCCAATAATATTAACATTATCTCGCACGTTAAACCGATGGCCAATTTTTCCTTCACCATAGATCGTTCCGAAATTTCCCACATCCAACTCTCGTGGTTCAACCAGCTCTTCTACGTCTCCCAATCCTAGTCCCAGTCCCACATCTGATTCTCTTGTCTTCCGTCTGTTGTTCCGCTCATCCATCTCATTCCCACTTTTCACATCCTTCTCAACAAAATACGCATCCATCTCCACCGGCTCCGCATTAACACTCACATGTTTCTTCTTCACTAAATCAACATAGGATCTTGTCGCAGCCTCTGATTCAATAGGTAATTCGGGTTTAAACTGACGTTCTCCATCCCAAGAATCATTATCATCTGCGATTTCTTTCGTAGTGAGTTGTCTCTTTGTCCGAGGCGTGGACGCTAGATAGCGGCGACGTCGGATGAGTATAAAGGCGATGACCATGATGAGTGTTACGCCAAGGATTATGCTCACAGAGATGCTGATTTTTATGGTGTTGGTGAGGGAATTGGAGGAATTGGATGCGGACTGAGTGCTCATTGGTGAAGTCAAAGCTGAAGCTGCTCCCCCATTTTCTGCGGTGGGGGTAGATGTTTCAGTGGGTGAAGCGGTTGAATTTGCGCCGATCGAACTAGCCTGACTGTGATTTGCGCTGCTTGTATTGGTAGAAGAGCCAACAGACATTTGACCGAGCGTGAATGTCGGACTGTCCACTTCAGGCTGAGTATTATCTGAAGGAACCCAAAATATCTTATAAACTCCATCTCGAAGTGAATTATCCGGAGTCCAAGTCAATGAATTTCCCGATGTAGCAACTGCCATTTCTACCGTCAGTCTCGTGTAATATTTGAGCAATGCCTGTATTGTAACACACCTCCTATCGATACTGCGCCGGCTAGCGAAACACTTTCATTATAGTATTGAATGGGTGCTAGATGGAGGTTAACGGATCCGGTTGAATCAATCCAGGTGATCGTAAATTGCTGTCCTAATACGGGATTAAAGGCCGTGTTCGTGAATCGAAATGATCGAACTAAGCTTGCAAATGCAAGCAATATTAATTGCAAAGAAACATTGTGAAATGCCCGCATAGCGAATGCTACACGGAAAAGAGATAGGAAAACAAAAGAGTGACGACAACAAAACCTGGAGAGTACTAAACTAAACTTTAGGTTCTTATATTTATTTACGTGCTTGGGATTGCTTGCGGCAAGGCCAGGTCAGTGTAGTATTCTAGAGCCACTTATGGCGGTGCATGGCATGACAATCCTTTTGAAATCATGGCCAACCACGATGCAATGGATTTCTTACATGCGCTCTGCGAACTATTAAAATATTGGAAAAAAACAGAGGGTGGTGTAAAATACATCAGAATTGGGTAGGAATGAACCGTTGGGGTCACGGAAGGAGCACGGAAGATTAATGAAGTGAGATTGGCAAGCTACGCTGCTCGTTTAATCCTTTTGTTCATCTCGTTACTGCAGTATGCTGACCTCAATAGAACATTTGTAAGTGCAAAGGGCTAGAATGTAAGACGCATAAATTGGAGGAATGTTAGTCGTAAAATTTGTAAAGTTCAATGGTACCAACAAATAAGACATGAGCTTCACCTCCTATGAGTCTGGACCTCACGAGTGAGCTTTTACTAAAATCTACAAGACGGACTTCACATATTTATACAACTAAATACATGGTGAGCGGTATGTAGCAAGACATATAGCTAATCAAAGCCATAGTAGAAGAATGATAAAAATCTTCAAGAGGTGAGATGCTTATTAACAGATTACACTGATCACCAGACCAAGAGGAGCGATGAGTAAGATGAGGATTGTTTCTACCCGTGTAGATGGGATCACGTGAAATCCACTTGATGAATTTCACAAGATGGATGCTAGTTCAATAAAGTGAAATAGTTTCGGCTGAACTCAAAAAATCAATATCCATTTCATGAAGTCCACTTGGAGATTTGAGTTCGTTGCTTGAAGTTTATTTGGAGAATCGAGCCCGATTGTCTGAAGTCTACTTGGACACTGATCAATTCTATGTCTCCGATTTGACAACCCTCATACTATCAATCAAATTGAAAACGGAATCGAAAAAGCAAGAGATGAAATTGTTCTTTGATAATGCAAATTAAGCGTTTGATACTATGCTCAGTTCTCAAGACCCGAGCATAGGCCTTTGAAGCTTACATTCTGACAGTCCGTTGATATAATGATGAGTTGACTGTTTGATGGGCTCAGGTGAAGTTTCTGGATAGCTCGAATGCATCCTCTATCCCCTATGGGATAGGGTACTAGATATGAGATATCGGAATATAAAGGCTAGTGATGAGATGAATATCAGCAGGATGCTTGGACCAGGTAGCTATAATTTTTGCGTTGTAACTTAGGCTGCTGTGATAATGATATTCCAGTAACGTTTCACTCAAAATCCTTCCAGAGACATTTACTTTAGTCTCATAACTGTGGTACAGCAGAAGACAGACTATTTGAGTGTAGAACCAGTAGGAGAAGTGGACTTCCAAGTTCCGTGCCGGCGCCAGCGAGAATCTCATAGCCCATTCGTTTCTTTGAAGTTGTGGGATACAATTTCGTGAGAAGACAGCTTCCTATCTCCAGAAGCATAGCGCCCACAAGTATGTATCAATAATGATAACGTAGTTTTCCTGATAGTACTGTCCCGATAATTCTTGCTAAATTACAAGATGCAACCAGCGGGATAATACGATATCCGGATTCAAAAGGAGATTTTACGCCAATCAAGAGTAGAAAGATCACAGTGATAATGTATCAATGCGGCAAAATCCAGGCTATAATTTCCGTGAAGACTTCTAACGTTTGGAGGTGAGCCGTAATGTTGGTGGTGTTGGAAGCTTACATATTGATAAGCTCGGCCTGTTGCGGCTTGGCCCCGCTCTGTCGAGAATCCCAGAGACAGCAAGAATAGAAGGACTCGTTCAAACTAGCATCACTAAAATGCTGGCCAAGATTTCACAAGCCTCATCGGTCCCAACTGTTCGGTATCTGCCAAGTCTGTCTTCTTCTGCATCAATCTAACACGCATATAACCATCCTTGAGATTCTTTATCTTGGCAGTCTTTGATGCTTATAGGCGATGCTATACGGAGGTCGAAGGAGGGCTCCAATCTTTCAACAACTTCCGGGAGTATCACGCAAATTTGAGCCACTCCACATTGTATATGTCGTTTGCTGCGCCGCCTGCCCCTCTCTTATCCATTGTATTCTGAGTTTAGCTCTATAGAGCCAATAATCTATATAATCTCGCAACTGAAGATGACATCGCAAGAGCCTTTAAAAACATAAATTTCAGATTGCCTATTTCATCTCAAAATATATTCAGCATATAATACTCAAGCATCATGAATCAAACGTCTCCAACATTTGAACTTGCGCCTGCGACTCGTGCAGATATACCCAGACTCGCTTACATCCACGTTTTTGCTTGTCTCCCCGACAATGCTTTTGCCTTGTAGTTCGACAATCCAAAAGTATTCGAGCAAAGAGTGACGGAGATGCTCGAAGGTCAAGTCGGTGAGCCGAATTGGCAGCATATCAAACTGGTTGACAAGGATACGGGCCAGATTACTGCTTGGGCCTCATAGAATACTTCAACCGATGTGGAAATCAGAGAACGAGATGAGAAGGCTGCAGCGAAGATCTTAGCTTCGACAAAAGATTTGGCTAAAGGCGAATTCGACTTCCCTCCAGGCCTGCCAATGTTCGTGCAGGCTGACACCAATCGATGGCTGGAGAGATGGACTAAAGGGCAACGCCACATTCTTTGCAAAGTCCTTTCTACAGAATCGACTTTCCAACGACGTGGTATGGGTAATGTTCTCGTTGAGTATGGCAACATATTGGCAGACAAAAAGGACTTGCCCATCTTCATGCAAGCTTCGCCTTTCGGCTTTCCGCTTTATATGAAGCATGGCTTTGAAACCGTACAGTGTTTAGATGTAGATTTCAGGGAGTGGGCACCAAATGCCAAGGGTAATGATAGGGGTTATGCAAACTATAAGTTCCGCTATATGCAAAGACTACCACGGACACTTCCAGATGGTATTTGAGAGCGCCATCTTCTTAAGGTTAGCTAGACTAACCGAGGCATGAATTTTCGTAGATTTTTATTCATAATTGGGCCCTAAACAATAAAGTACTCAAAGCGAATGAAATGATCAGTTCCAATGTGCATGTACTAAACGTGGGAAAGGATGAGTTTCGACAAAAGAGGGCAATCATCTTCCTACCTATCATACAATTCTGCTGCTTCGATTCAATTGAGCGTAGTATTATGCGTTATCAGATTGCATCTTCTCCAGGCCGAATTTGAAGCTCAAGAAATGGGTCAAAGAAGGCGGCATCGAAAGATCTGATTTAATGTGTTTCAACCCAGACTCTACGAACACGCTATTGGCTCCAGGAGTAGTGTTTTTATGCCTCAAAAGAGCCGCTAATCCTATTCTCCGCGATACAGCAAGGCAGGGGTCGCTTCGTGCGCCAGTGGAATGTTTTTCCAACATTGAATTCACGATGTCTGCATTCAGTCGGATTATGGCAGGATTGAGGTGGCAGAATCAGTGAATTTTAGAAATGAGGATGATGCTAAGAATCCCAGAGCCACGATACTCTGAGAAGCAACAGTATCAACGGTATCAACAGCAGCAAAGGCAGCAGCAATAACAGCAACAACAGCAACAACAGGCCCAATTTACCGAGTCAAACTTCAAATAAACTACCATAATGTGCAAATTGGTCAGCTGTATCGTTGCCGCCATTACGTTCCTGACCCGACGGTTAGTATAGCTTAAGAAAATGGGTATCTTGAAGGTTACTGACTTAATAATGGTGAAGGTTAACGTAGGATTAAGGTTGGATGGAAGTCTGATTCTATATATATAGTTGGTAAGTTAACCACCGGAAAAAGTGCCATAAACTAAGAACGCCAAAACTAACGACAACCAAAATCGAAAGAGAAACTATTACAGGGCTGGTAAAAAGACATGCATACATATTCAAATCATGTTAGCCGATACTCCAACAACCCAAACTCATATTCGTGTATCCAACTCCATCTTCTTCGACGCTTCTTTTAGCCGGGAGAGCGAGGCGGCTAGATTCACATCTGGATCTGGCAGGATCGTCCTATCTGCACTGTTATTTCTCTCGGCTCCTCATTCCTCCTGTTAACTATCCTTCTTGAATATTTAGGCTTCGTGATCATTTTTCCTTGCTCACTCTGACATCTACTTCTTCCCGCCCGGATACCTCTCAGGCCACTTCTCCAAGTCGATTGTCAGTGCCTCTAATTCTGTTTTGAATGGGTACTTCCTGGCAACCTCCCTATTGATCCCTCCTCTGTCGGCTATCTTAAAAAACTCCTCACAATCCATCTCACTGACAATTGCCTGATCCGGTATCCATTCCTCTACCAACCAATGAGTATCTGTCACATAACTCACTCCATCCTCATATAGATGATCCTTGTCCCCATTCTTCCTCGAAATCTTCCCTCCTGAGGAATACACAAATTCATCAAAATATAAACTTGTACTCTGTGCTTTAATGCCCAATTGTCTAAGTCGATTCAGCGAGATAACAGATACACGACTTCCCGCTTCTTTCTCTTTGTGGCACTCGGGCAATCTCATAATTCGTGCAATGGATGTGGATACGGAAATGTAGGGACTGGGAACCTTGTCCCGGTTGCAATGAGATTGGAATGCGCGGCCGTCGGCTTGTCTTTCGTCTGTTACGCCGGATGTGTAGAGACTGTCTATCCAGCCTGAGCAGCGGAATCCGTAGGAGCGAGAATAGGTGGATTGAGATGTTGCAGTGTGCACGCGGTAGAGGAGGGTATCGGTATTGGCATTCTTGTTTTGAGGGGTGTGGGGGAGAGGGAGGGAGAGTAGATGCTTAATTAGAGCCTCGAGCTGGGAAATGGAAGTAGCGAGATCATTTTCTTGGATTAAATTTTTTTGGCGAGTGAGGATTGTGAGCTCATTGGGGTGGTCAGCTCGAGGGGGGAGAAGTTGAGGGTCATCGTGCTTGAGAGAGTGAGTGCGGGAAGGAGAGTGTATAGTGATGAAATTATCCGGAGAAGTGGATGTTAGATTGCGCGTTATAGGGATACCAGTGAGGTGAGAAATCAAATGAGAAGTCCATTTTCGGTAGAATTGGAGGGTTTGATAGTATGTGCGTAAGTCCTCGGACTCCAGATTTAATTTTTGACTGTGGGGATGGAAAGGATTCCGAGTGATGTTTAGATCGTAGCGATCGCGAGTGAGAATGGAATTGTTAGATATAGATATATTGCCGAAGGAAGTAAGCACGTATTCTGAACCAGGATTTGTGGAAGAAGTGGTTCGATCGTTCATTGCTGTTCGTGGGAAAGTCAAAGTAAGGTCGGAATGAGAATAAGAGCCATTGTTCGATCTCAGAAGCGAAGCTACAGAGTCATTACTTGATTTATCTTTCGTAGTTGATGATGCACGAAAATCTGAGATGAATAGATCTGATTCAGATGTAATATTTGCCGAGAATCTGAAGGGAGGAGAGGGGGACAATGAAGGGGGAGTGTAGTCAGGTGTTGAGATGAAAGCATTTCTTGGATTGTGTCTTGGAGTGGAAGGTTGAGTAGCAAAGTCGGATCCTGATTTTGCTGTCATTCTGTTGTTGAAGGTAATCTTTGATTGAATGTAATTTGATGTGAAATTGATAAAAAGATGATTACTCTGAAGAGTTTGATTTTGATTTGGTATCTTGATATTTGGGTAGAGTCCGAAGTTATAAAGATAATCGATGCCAATAGGCACTCACCAAGCCACAATTGAATTCCGTTACACAGTTCTATAAACATGGCTGATTACCACCTCGAGATTTGCTGATATGCCAGCTCAGGCGGATTATCATGTGTTTTCAAATAAACGCCTCGACACTTGTGCGCTATGCACCATCAAACCCGAAATAAATGGGTATATTTTCGAATGAATTGCGTTCATTTTTGCTATTGAGAGGCCGGCCGCGGGCCTCGAGGTAGGTCGGCTATGCAACTCGGGCTGACAGCCTGACTACAAAACAAAACGATAACAAATTGTGAAATTGAAGATTTCATATCATCGAATCAATTCAAAATCGAGCGCACTAATGCGCGCATAATTCTTCAAAGACAACCACGAATATAACATGAGGAAGAATCTCGAAACCAAGAAATCAAATTCGGAAAATTATTTGTCTGCCTAAAATGCGGCACGAACAGCTACCAAGCCACCCAAGCCGGATTATGTGCGGGAATGATTTGTGACCACTCGTGGCTTATTACTGAAGGATTGACGTTTCATCTTGGGGGAGGGGGAGATGGAAGTCATATGTATGGATGAATTCGGTTTTGACACAGTGAAGTAGAAAGCCAAACAATTTTCGCTTATGCTTTTACAATTCAAAGCATAGTATCAGGTACACTCAATATCATTTATTAACAGATATATCTAGAAATAGATCCGCCCGAGTGATATTGGCTAGAAAGTTCTAATGATTATAGCAAATGTAGAACGGATTACATGGTAATATGAAATCAAATTCAAACCGTAAAAAATACAATTCGATGGGTGTAAAACTATCTACAAAGACGATCAAGCACGGTAGATATATTCAGAAGACAGACAGAGAATGAACCTCAACTTCAGCATGACTACCTGTTATAACTTCTCGGAGCTAATTCGGGGCAAGATATACTCCAACTAAACGTCCTTCCCAGCAATTTGATTCTCTTTCTCCGAAAAAACTCTCCGCTTGACCTCCCGAAGAAATTCATCATTCCTGAAGTATTCGAACTGGAAGGCAAACAAGTCTGCATAATATGGCTGCTCAATCGCAATATAAAAATGTCTCTCTACACTGTCCCGAATTTGAAGGTTTTCACTATCCATCAATGCCAGTTCACCATTATCCCTCCTTCTATCATTCAAGAAGTCCACAACTTCGCTGGTAACTTTTTGATAGAAAATTTCTTTGCTCCAGGTCTTGAGTTCTTTTTTTACTGGAGGGTATCGATTGATCTTATTGGTGCAATCCGGACACAATTGTTTTTGCTGAAAATATTTGCGCTTGCGTTCGCGGTATGAGGGACCGGACGAACCCTTTCCATTGCAATCTGGAGCTGGTGTTGGGGTATCAGGAATGATTCGATCGCTTGGGTCAATGCCGTCAATTCTGCCGGGGATATGACAGCACCAGTAACGTGGCGTTTGATTGCGACACATGGCTCTCATTGCAGTTTATGCGACTTCAATGTATTTTCTCTTAGAACGGCGCCAAAAAGGAAGTATCCTCGGTGATGCGATGTGTGTGTGGGTTTTGATATGAGACAATCTGAACTGTCTTATGCTGATATGCCCGAGGACCATCAAAGACTCTATAATTTGAAAGATTTGGAGCTTTGTGGTAAATTTCGGAAATAGAAGAAAAATGAGTTTCTGGATAAAGATGACTGAACTGGAATTGAAAGAGAAATTGATGAAGAGCTTCGAAATAATATGTACTTGACATCAAAAACTCAATTGTATTCCAGAATCATTGAGAAAGTAATGAAAGACTATAAACCACTTCTTTAACTATGGCAAAGATACTTTTCCAAGCATGGAACTTTACAGCGTTAGAATCACAGTTTATTGTTACGATAAGATGCTAGAATGGGCTTAGTTGACTTGTTCGGTTTTCCACCACCACCACCAGCAGAGACAGTGTATTTGGGCCATTGTGTCTAGAACCGCTTGGTAGGCACATCTTTGACTTTATCAACAAGTATTGTTCTCGAATACATTGTGTTATTCGAAATGTCAAGATTTTCCATATCAGAACTCTTTCGACCCCCACAAGATCAACATACATCTTTCCACAGCTCATTTGGAAAACAAACTCCCCTTTCCTAAAAATCTACTATAAATCCATTCACTTGAATAAACTTTTTTTATCCCAGGTCCTCACACCAAGCCTCCAGAATCAACATACTCGAGGAGCCTCTCAAAACTCTCCCCATTTCCATGACTACGTTCTATCACTCGTCTCATTTTGCCTAGATCGCATATACCATCTATATCATCCACAACCTTGTCATTCTAAATTCGCCCGAATCAGCTTTCTTAGCCACCTTGGCTTCGCCGGTTGACCGGATAAAAGTCGTTCAGGCAGGTACCCATCAAAATGTGAAATGAAGCCTCTATCTTTGGCTCGAACAATCAAGAAACGTAAATAGAGTGAAATAAGAATATGAAGGGAATTCCTCCTCAGAAGGGTAACTTTAGCAATTTAGGAAGAGAGGAGAGAGGACTTCTCCGAGCTTTTGCTGTATTAATTACAACTTTGTTACTTATTGAGCAAACCCTATTTCCAATACAAGAATTCGGGTTGCCAGCAAGCCAATCTACCAAGACTACTAGGTGAGATATGTATTTGAACGTATGGAGATGGAATGCAATGGAATGCAATGCGAGATGAAATTGAAAAATGCTAACATTGGGTATCATATAATTTCGTCTTCCCTTCACCCTCCCTTCTTCCCCCATTTTCTCTTCTCATATCCTCTATCAACCTATCGTCCAGCAACAGGTCCCCCATAAACACTACTAGCACTATTCGTAAATCTAAATTCCTGCACCACTCTAATCTGACCCTCTTCCACCTCCTCCCCTTCTCCATCTTTCCTCTCATCCCTGCTCCAATTCCAGCGATTATGATTTCCATAGCCCGCCTGAATCGTCGTTCTCATATTACTCTTTTCCTTCTTCGGTACTAAATCTAATCGCTGTTGTAATTCCGATATTTGCAATTCTTCTTTCGAGCTCCCATTGCCGTTAGGAGTAGTAGATGTGTGCGAACGAGACTGGAAATAATTCCCCCTCTCATCTTCACTTGGCGCCGAACTTTTGCACCCCATGTAAGATCTCTGCAGCGCAGCTTTCGGAACCATAACAACCTCATCATCATCCCACTCCCCAGGTCCAATTTCTTTGATCCTAGGGATTAAAGATTGCTTTCTTCCTCTTGATCGGGATCTTTCATGATTCAGTTTCAGTTCACCCAATTCGACCTCCTCTTCTCGAAAAGGCGAACTTCCTGTATGTGATGAGATTTTCGTGGATTGATCACGGACTTGTTGGGAATAACGTTTGATGATGGGAGCGACGATTGGAAGATTGGTTACTAGGACTGCGAGAAATGATTCGCGAAGCGACCATTGTCCGCTTGATGTGGCTGTGCCTAAGGTCTCGAGGTGGGTTAGTCTTCGAATGGATTTGGGAGGGGAAGAAGGTTGGTGAAATGAGAATGGGAGAGTTACGTCGGAGCCAGAACTTACGGTCAAGATGGAAACACAACGTAGGATTCCGAAGACGGTGACGAGAAATCCTCCACTGTAAAGGACGAGAAGAAAGAGCTTTTGATATGGTAACATGCACTTGGTACCAAGAATTGTCTATGATATGTCAGTTGCAGTTTAAGAGAACGCGAGGCTAGACTTTTTAAACGTACAGGTAGAGGTATAGCCATGATATACATATTGGTTACTGTATTAACAGACATGATGAAAGCCATTTGAAAGACAGAATTGCCAGAATAACAGGAATCTGTGGTTTGTCATTAAAAAGGTCTCCAAATAGGCTGGATGCCAGTTACTCACTTCCTGGATCTGGATAAATTTGCCATTGCTTCTTCAATGGCATGCATTTACAAAATACTACCAGAATAGCTGATAGATATGTGACACCCAACACCACATATCCTACAGTGATACGTTTCAATGGCCTTTTTTCAGCAGCTGAACTATAATTCAATGTTAGTCATTAAATAATACCGAGATCGAGAGCTACCCCCTTACATCAAACGAGCATAGTAGGTGATCCAACAAGCTTTCAGTAACCACATCAACGAAATGTAGGTTACCCAATTCCAAATATGCGTTTTAGCCCCGTTAACTCGGTACAACCATTCTAAAGAATTAGGATCAAGAGTCTGACGCTCCAATTCAGTCATTCCACCATTCGAATAACCTAACCAGCGAGCCACGAGGTAGTATGATGAGGTTGCTTCAGCTGTATATGCGAACTATCATTGCACATCAGAATCATATCCCAACAAGTTGCATCAAAGTGCTACGAACCAAAACGGCAAACATTAAACCATCATCCAATTTTAATTGTCTCCATCCCAGATTCGAAACTCGTGCAGAAATTCTCACTGCAATGAACACGACGGCTATGGCCCAAGATGTCCATGCCTCCACAACGAGATTTGTACAGCTCATATCATCCGGGCAATCTCAAATCCAATGGCCAGGTTTTTGCAAGTCGTTGACTTCGTAACACCAATACATCGAATATGTCACTGCCAACCAAGCTTTGAGATAACCTAAGCACAATGGGTAACGGCAGAAGGGTATGTATATTTGAAAGTCAAAGAGTACAATCAAAGAGAGTCAAGAACAGGTGGAGTATAAGTTCTGGGGTTCGTTGAACTAAAATGTAAATTTCATGTAGATACTAATTTCAAATTTCCATCCTTAAAACAATATCAATGGTATATGATCGATGAAGCCTCGTTTCATTCAATCATTTTTGTTGAAAATTGCCACCATTAGACATGGACATTGCTGGTCAATCGGAAAGTTGCCTGACCTTGTACCTCCACGAACCGATAGATTTGGCGAGGATCTACTCTTAAAATGGATCGTATAAAATCATTGGGGCACGATACTTGTGGCTGCCAGCAAACATCGCCTTATTTTCCCTCTAGAACCTTTTGAAAATGGGTCCGAAGGAAGATTTGATAATGTTATTTGAGTATGACTGGGCGTGGTGTGTATGTATTGTGGCTCGTGCTATTGAGATATATTGGGATACACCATACCAAAGATCAAGGGACACAGTTTGTGGAGAGCTGTCATCTGTAAAAATCCACTTAGATTTTAACATGTACCCATGAAATGGGAATAGCTTCAGATGAAATCGACGACAGACCCACTTGTCATCTTCCGAAACCGAGGCAATTCTCCGTACCTAGTCTCTTCTTGGAGCTCAGGTGAATGATTGGGTCTGTTTGTTGAGCCACGAAAGATTAAAACCAACCAATGAGAACCCACGATAGAAGTTCGAATAATCATATCAAGGTCAGAACCGTGGGAGAACACCCATCTTCTCATGAATGCAGCTGAATAGAACCAATCGTTCAACGATGTATCAAGAACAAGGGACCGAACATCTAAATGAGGGCACCTGTTCGTGAATAGTAATCACTATCTTCCCGTCCGATGTATCCAGTAACTGCCCTTGAAAGAGTACCAACTCCGTACAGCTGTCATATATTATGGTGGATCTCCAGGTACCATCGTGAGCTTTGAGCCTTTGGTAGCTTATACCCACGATCCTTAGATGGCCTGACCTATCACATAACGAAGAACTACTTTCATAGGGCTTGATGAACCGATCGTGTAGATTGACCATCCTAGGAGCTCCAATCTTCTTCGCAATCCTAACCAGATTTGAACAAACCGATAAGCTGGAACCAAACATTTGAAACTCCTTTAATTCTGGCTGGAAGACAAAGGTGACGAATGATCTATTGAACTCGTCATTTTGAAAAGATTTTATATTAAAAGTTCGTTCCTATCGTTCAGAACACACCAAGAAGTGAAAGGTCCCAAGCAAAAGTAAAAGCAGACTGCGCCGTAACTCAGGGTTCGGGCGGCTACACCGAACGAGGAGAGTTTAGATCTGGGTTTTCCTTGCTTCCATCATTCAAATTTTGTGCCGTGGTGGGTCGTGTTAAGAAAGGTATTATTGCCGTTTGGTTCGATGGTAATATGTAAGGTGACATATTGACGAGGAGTCGAGATTTTGAATGTTTCCCATTCTCATTCCCATTCCCATTCCCATTCCCATTCAATCCAGTTTATCTCGTTGAAACAGGTAAAGGTCGAGAATAATCCCTTCTCTGTCTGTTGCCGTGCCGTGATGTTGAAAAGGTTGAGAATGGGTTATTGGACTGATAAGAATCTTGGTGATAAGAGATTGCATAGCATACCCCTGCCAGTTCAGCCTGACACATGACCATCACATGACTTTCAGATGACTTTCACATGATTCCCGTTATCTTCATCCTTGTTGCATATCTGATTTAATGATGAGCCAAGATCTTTGAAATCTCCTGCTGGAAGGAAGTCAATCATCAACCAGTCTGCATCAATCGTATCATGTGATTGACTCTGATTCGCATACACACGATGCATCTCTAGTGTCGGTCGAAAAATTCGGATGAAACATTTGAATTCGATATTCGTTGACACAATGTACCTAGGATCAACACCTCACTGTCGCCAGAAGAAATCCCTTGGATTCCTGTTCTCTTTCATCACAGAAAAAAGATTCAAAAACACACGTCGCAATAATTATCCGGTTCCGAATCTTTTAATTCTCAAGTGGGAATGCGCGGTGAGTAGGTATATGCTTGTTTGTCCAAGACGCACGACGGCGGTGAAGATATCCTTCCACAATGCACATGTAAGATCTTATCTCTCTCATACGTAGGTATCTATCTCGCTTTGCTTTAATCATTCATCTCACTCACTTCATTTCCTCCTGAATTCTATATCCTTTTAAAGTTTCCTTATCGTCAAAGTATATCGGTGAATTTTTCCAACGCCACGAGAAAAAAATTTAACTTCGGTTTCATCATAAGGCTGGAAACACTAGAAAGTCTAGAATTTTCTAGCTTCTCGACTCGATTCATTGCGCAAAGACGTCAGAGAAACACTCCATGACTCGAGTTCAAATAGGAGACTTCAGATAATTTCACGGAGGAATTTTTTTGTGTTGTGATCTTTTTATAGTTATTTTCTCAAGGGCGTATTTTCTCGTTTGACATTTTGTTGTTTTCATTATACTCACTTGAACATTCTTGAACATTCTTTTGATTCTATTTCGATGTACTAGAATAGAGTTTGGATAGTAGCAGGAACATCACCATTTAGACTCATGTTCAACAAGGAAAGGAGAAAATCGGTCACGATGTCAATCAGGAAGTCGATCACGACGCCAAAATCATGGTTCTCATCAAGGTCTTCAAAAACATCAGAAAAGCCAACATCACCTACCTCAACACCACCTACCTCAACATCACCTACCTGGGAATTTCATCAATTCACTCGCCTCCCCTTGGAACTTCAACGCCAAATCTGGCGTTCCCTGTTCCCTTCCTCCCGAACCGTCTCCCTCTCCTACAACATCACTCCCTTCCAAGCTCACTCCACTCCACCCCCCATCACCCTCTCCATCTGTTCTGAATCACGTTCCGAGACACTCTTACACTACACTCTTCTTTACCGTTCGGAATTCCCCGGATCTCGTGGGAAATCTGGTGGCAATTGCGGGATTCTCCTCAGCAAATGCATGAGACAGCCTATTTGTGTAAATCCCCTCACGGACACGATTTCCTTTTTCGCCGGGGATCTATGCGGGGAGAATTTCAAAGGTCGAAAACGCTTCGTCGAGTGGATGGCATTTTTGGACTCGGTGGATAGGAGGATTTTGGATGGAGCCACTGTGGTGCAGTTGGAGGGCCTGGATTGGGATAATACGATGTATATACATCTGAAGTTTCAGGAATGGTTAAGGTGTAAGGAAGTAGTGGTGGAGTATGAGGGACAGGGAGGAGCGGAGAGCTGGGAGGAATTAAATTACGGGGGTTTGTTGAGATTGGAGAAATTGCAGGAAATTAGGTGTAGGTATACTCATAGCGAGTATATGGGAAATTTTGAGGAGCAGTTAAGGACGTTCTTGGGATTTCATACACAGGTTTGGGGTGGGAAGATTCCCGTTGTGAAGAGGGTGTCTTGAGGGGTGATGAGTTGAGTTGAGATCTGATGGTGTACGATTTGAATTATTGAAGGGATACTAAATTTGGCATGGGAACATGGGTATAATACGGCGTTTCGGATTGGAATTTGGGAACAGAGATATGACGCCATTAGATATAATAGCATTTAGATTATAGAATAATCAATATAGACTCCATTCATATACATTTCCATTTCCATTTCAAAGATGTTTCAAGTTGAAAAATCTATATGAAGTGCCATACCGAGCTTCCATAGTTCGCACCAAAATTTGGATAACATTCAAAATGCACGGATGGAGCAAAAGATCAGGTAGCAAAACTTGCATTATCATTATTGCTTTGCTTCAAAATATTCATAATCATACTCGTGAATCGTCATAAACACCATTACTCCCATCTCCAATGCAATATCCATCTCCATCTTCATCGTCCCCTATTCCATTCTTCCATTCCTATCCCCATGCTTGCATTCTGGACTCCTTCAACCATCTACAATCCACAAACACTTCTATCGACTTGAGTGTAAGTAGCATCGATTCTTCCAAGCGCAACTGCTTGTCCCCCGGTCAAAGCATCAAGAGCTCGTTGTCCAATGTTGAATCCAGCATTGGCGTGGTCAATGGCAAGGACATTGATGCTTCTTCCTCCATAGCTCAATTGGTAACAGTTACCGCAGTTTGCATCGTTCCAGCCGGCGATGGTAGATGCACCACCGATGTAGGGGAAGTTGCTGAGGGAACCTTGGGTAGAGTAGCCCTTGGTGAGGAGTCCGTTGGTTCCGTCGGAGCAGGAAACTACGGAGAGAGAACGGCCGGCATCATCGTAGCCGACGTCGTAGGAGACGGTGATGGCTGTTGCGCTGACGGCAAAGGTGAGGAGAGTAGCGAGAGTTGGGAATTGCATTTTGAATTTGGGTGGTTGAGGTGAGGAAGTTTGTTTGTTTGTGAGGTAGAAGTTCTTGTAGATATCTGAGATACTTTGAAGTAATGTATGTAGATGTAGATGTTGATAATGATCTTCCACCACGGCGCACATCATATCTTATATACTTTCTACCCCTCAAAAGCCCCTCACCCAGCCTCATCTCCGCCCCAATAATTCATCAGAGAATTCTCCGTATATGTCGCCTCCTCTCACCCATCGAAACTCGTGATAGCGGGGTACCCACCAGGACCACATTGTTTGCATTTGTCAATTACGAGAAACATTCCATTGCAACTAAATCAGATGATATCTATTAACACTATTGATAACCCCATCAGCAGAGTCTCCTCTCAGCAATACGAGAAGACCAGCGGTATATGCACACTGCATGCAAGGCTGTGCGGGGACGAAAATCTTGGCATCGAAGCGGTATCGTGTGCATCTTCCGGACGCCTCGATCTGATGCTTATTCCTCCGCATTTCCATCACTTTGGAGTAATAAATTTACATAAAGTAAGTCTTGTTCATTGTGAAGGCGAGTACGAGAGAATGGAGGCAGTGGGGGATGTAACCATACGGTTGACTACGTCAGATGCATGCGAATCTATAAATAGGTAGTGAGTACCGTACGGATGCCGATCTCCTCGTATTCCAACGATTTGTTCCATAGATTTCTATGTGTGCCAATGTTTGCCAAGCTCAATTGCCTTGAATAGGTACTCGAAGTCGAAGAATGACGAGTTCCACTTTTTGCGATACCGAATGATTTATGTGGTGAGAGTGTTGTGTTGTGTTGTGTGAGGAGTGGTGTGAGTGAGTTGTCAGATGAAGTGGTGGTGGATGGGAATCTCGGTAGTCGGGAGTCAGTGAAGTGAAGTGGCAAGAGTGGCTTTGATTCTGGTGGCTGGGAACTTCCCCGCAATTTTTGTTTGTTCGACGACAACAACACGAGATTTACGATAGAAGCGAGAAGATGCGGAAACATCCTTCCTATCAGCGACATCGAAGTTATGGTTTGGTATTGGGATGAATTTGGAAATTTGAAACGAGTTGGAAATTCCAACTCGCAGAATCGGATGTTTCAATGGGCTTGCTTCTTGTTCACGGCTGTCTTTGCAAATCCTCTTCCCTTCAACGTTTGCTCCTGTCAATTCTTGAAGGGTCGTTGTGTTTCAAAATCGGGGGTGCCTAGTGACCAGTGCACTAATGCTGATACTAGATCTTCACTATTTGCTTTTGATGCAAACGTTCACTTCCTCTTCGTCCGCCAAATTCTACAATGTCACTATTCAATGACGAAAGCTTTCCTAGAGAGTGCTCTCTCTTTTATATATCGGCTCTGATCACTCATGGGTTTCCTGTCAGCAGAGTTATGTAGGTAGGTATTCACATTCTTGAAGAAGTGAACAGGTAACAAAGCACAATTCATTCACCACAGTGGATTCCGGCAATGTCGGATATTGAGGGGCCAGCTCTCTCACAAACAAATTCATAAACTGTTCACATTATTTGCATGGAGATCCCAGTCACAACAATACTTATCAAATACAATCAATGCTGGAAGTCTAACAACATGCAAGGTCATATCAAGTATACCATTCATTTTCTGCAAACTCTTCACTACTCCAAAATTTCCTACTCATCGCCGCAGTCTTGGTATTCACAAGCATAACCTCCACTTGTACTAAGATTTCCAGAACCTGGGGACACTGGACTAAAGCAAAGGTTACCTAGGTGAAGATTCTCAGGATTGACATACTCCCAGTATGCCTTTGAGAGCGGTCTACAGTTGCTCGGGCAAGAAGGAAGCTAGATGTGGAGATCCACGGTATGGGAAACCGTACTGATAAGACTTGTATCAAGAAGCAAGAATACTCGATGGAATATGGGTTGCAGGGTGGGTAGATCTTGATTGTCGGTGACAAAAGAGTGGGCCATTGAGATGAGGCATGCCCGTCGAAAGCAATCTTAGGGTTCGAGGGTCTCTTTGTCTCTGAAAGACACTCGTCCACTAGATTGCGTCGAGGATCAGTTTTAGAGACTTCTCGACGCAATCTTGGACCTCGGGATGTCGATGTCGAGCATAACTGAAACAAAAGCATCAACACTGGACGACTCTCTCAATCCCGAAGCAAATTGTTGGCCAGCTGGCTTTATGTGTTCTGAAAAAGTCATCCAAACCTATCAAGAACCGCAAAAGAGATATTCCTTTTTCCGGCTCGCCCCCTCCCTCAGATGCCAAAAATGCTAAAAGAAACATACAACAGTGGGGATTCGCTGGTGGTCACCCACCCAACTACTAATCCACCGATCTGAAGCTTGTGTATGGCAGAGCGGACGGGATGCCCAATTCTCTTCAGTCTATGGTCGTATGTGACAGCGGGTGTGTTTTCTGGTACTATAATGGGACAAAAGATATGGCAACACTTCAATGAAATTAAATTTGAATTATAATTCTGCACGAGACTAGCAAATACCTTCTCCGACAGCACAATCAGCTCTGCCGAACAAGGTTTCGGAGTTGATCTGGCTCGGTCTGATCTCTGGGTTTGATTGGACTACCTGCCAACATGCCTTGGTAGATTTCGCTATCCTCGGCAAGCGTGTGGCTTCGCCATTTTGTCATAAAATATGACTTGTAAGACATCTCGCTGATGTAACCACATTGTCCACCCAGGATACCACTCTATATACTCTGGTTTATCGAAAGAACCATCGAGAAATTCCCGACGGAAGTGAATGATCGACTCCTTGATGCGCTATGTAAAGTCAGTCAAACACAAGAATTGTGAAGTATATTGGGTGTTGTGAACTCACATTGCGGCATAGCTCTGGAAATCGCTTCAAGATGAAGGAAGTGATTTCTCAAGTGGCATATCTTGGCTGGAGTGCCTCTTGTCTAGGCATACTGCCTTGGTGGCAAGGCAGGGGAAAAGCAACAACCAGCAAGAGCCGCGGCATTTGAAATGCCTGAGAGGATATCAGTGAAGAGACCGATGTCGTGGTTGAGTGTAGGTAAGGGCTCAATGAATAGTCATCGGCAGACGAAGTGGATGGTGTGAACGCAAAGTCGCCTGGCTTGAATCAAGCCACCGACGAATTTGAATTCCCTTGAGTCCCATTTGCTTTCTTCACCTTGGCTGCACCAAATTCTCGTTGTGTTATCTTTTTCGAAGGAGGCCATTTCTGGAAAGTCTTTTAAACTCCGTTGGAACCTATCAAAAAGCGTTATTAAAGCAGTCTTGAGAGAGAAGAATTATACTAACATCATCCACCCTCTTCTTCCGCTTCATATTCTTGACTTGGTTCATCTTCATCGGAAGTAAGCAGTCCGGGATCGAGTGCAAGGCAGCAAGGCCATTGCATACCCTTTCTAAAGGGCATATGAAGGCGTTGGGACCCTTGGGTAGGGGCATAGACCGGTATTAATTGTCTAAAGCAAAAGGGAAGTCAGTACTTTATATTATGGACAATTGAACTAAAATCTGGATACTTACTAGGTAGCCACTAGAAAAACTCTTATTTTCCTTCATGTACGGCCTGTCTACGACCAAAATACAAGCTGGTTGGAGTATGAGCTCCAAACTTTGCTCTGCACACGAAGCCTAAACTCTTATCAGCTATCAGTCAATGAGATGCTCAAGATGGAACTAACCAAAATTGTCCACGACTCTCTGCCAGTAGGATCTCAAACAGTTCAACACGACGAGGAAAAGGAAGCGCACGCCGAAGCGGCTATGGTTAACTGTGTTTTATTACTACTACTTGTCCACCTCCTACATATTACTATCAAGAACATGAGCCCATCCCCCGTCTCCTATCCCCAGAAGTATTTGCAAAGTAACATCTCGGACAATAAAAATTCCACATCATCCACGCAGCTGCCACCTTGCGCTCTTCAAGCATCCAAGGACACCAGACAGAAACATCTTTCACATCTGAATGACGACCACCGTTGAAACCCCCACAGCCACACAGGCACTTCAAGTAAAGAAGAGCCTGCCTGCGCAAGCAGACAACTTAATATTTTTGAAGATCTGCTCGGGAGCAGATTTAACGTTGGCATATATATCGAATCGGATGTAACATATCTTGTGATCCGGCAAGTCCAGAAGTCAATGCATAAGTCTTGGTCTCACTCCCTTTGCAGGAGGGAAATCTAGCTTGGAAGAGTGAGACCAGGACTTATTCATTGACTTCTGGGCCAAGATCGCCCACGAAGGGTGCTTCGTGCTCACAAGAGGGAAGCAGTCCTAGAATAATGACACGAGGTCATATTCGTTGACTTCGGGTCCAAGGTCGTCATCACTTGGGTATAATGTTAGAAATGGTAGAGCTTATATGCTTGCAGGAGGAGAAGTTTGGGATGGACTTACAGTGTTCTGACACCGAGGCCAGTCCTCTATGTATTGTAGAGGTAGCTTCGAAAGCTCACTTAATTTTTTTCATCGAATTGAGACACCACCACCATGGTGGTGGGGTTGGAGTTGGCATCTTGGAACTCTCATTTCTCGTTGTGCGCCGTGCATATCAACGGCTTTACGCCTGAAGAGATGTTCGAGGCGGTGAATATATATGTTCATGATCTTAGGAAGGAGATCGGCGCACGCCGGAAGCCACGAGTCGTTGTCGAAAGTATTGAACCGCTACGAGTCATGTGTGTCAGTTGTGATACGCCTGAAGAGGTGTTTGAAGTGTTGAATGTAGATCTTCATGATCTTAAGAGGTAGATCAGGTGTTGGTATGCTAGTTGCATACTGACCGTTGGAATGAGGTGACTTACATGGCTTAATACCCAGGGGGGCTGGCAACTGCAAAACCTCATTTTGCTCTGGAAGTCAGAGAGTGCTGAGATCTGCCGCGACCAGTGACCAGCGACTTTCTGGGTGCTTCTTGAGTAGTATTGTATCGACGGGTATGCTGCTATCCGACGCTATGAGAAGCAAATTAAGCTGCTCTCCATGATTTTTCTGGCGTTGATAGTGTCGAATTGAATTTGTTGAGGAGACTCTTTGCTGTATAACAGATCAGTTTCTGGAAATAAGAGAGAAATTGGAGGCTATAAGCAAGCTACCATGGACTCTGGAATCACCAAGAGAGCTATGAGTAGTTGTGGACTTACTGTGAATTGTATACCGTATAATGATATGAAGTCCAAGGACTTGATTCGATCTTCAATTGTTGAAGTCCAAGAGAAAGTAACTCGAGATCCCATTCTTAATAGATTTGATAAGTTATATCTTGATGGTATCAATCTATCAAGTAATAGTCCTATCAAACAGGGAATTTAAAAGCAAAACACAAGATCAAATCAAAGAATTTGGAAGTTATAATGTTGTTGTCAAGATTGTGGGAAGTTTGGAGAATGGAAGCGCTCTAGGACTTTAAATGGCTATCCTAATCCCGAAACAAGACAAGAGTTTTTTGAAGGTCTTACTTCGGGTTTATATTTTCAATATTTGAATTTTCAATATCAGAATTCTCGAGCAGTTGTGTGAGCACCGACTGTCGAAGCGAGGGCTTTGATATTTGTTGAACCCAGACTCACTTCTGACAGGACTTCTTTGTTTATTGACATTTTTGTTATTGTTTTCATAGTCGTCTCGAATGAACATGAAATTTTGTTTGTAACATGAACCATGCAAAAATAACAGGTTACTGTCATGCCGATAGATGAACTATAGTAGAAGATTTACTGTCAAGGCAATAGACAAAGTGAGGTTCCTCGTAACCTGTAATTCAAATGCCTGCATCAACATTTGATATCTCAGTACACAATGGTTATAAATAGTGAGCCTCTCTGGATTATATGTTGATATGTAGTAGATTATCCTAGGGGTTCCAACTTGGCAACTTTTCGCCAACATATGTATGGTTTTCTTGACTATCATGAGCGCACACTTTCCATGAGCGAGTAGTCATCTTTAATATTATTTATTTCATCTTCTAAGATCTCTATACCATGTTACTACACACATGATTGAATCTCCTCATGTTCTTGTGATAAAGAAACTTTCATGTGATTTCCGTGATTTTCTCCCAGTAAGTAGTCAGCAACAAGGCAGAGAGTGCTCATGCATTGCTCAGGCAGCGTCTTAGATCACATAATGTCTTTCTATCATATGCTGTTCGACTACTAGGTAGGCATAGCCTCTGATCTCATAAATAAATCATCCATCACTCCACAATTCTATCTCTCATTTGATTATCCCGACACTCTCGCTACCTCACTTCTCATCTTTTCTTCCCTTGATGTGATGTCCCGTCTCCGGAGAACTTCCATGCCATCAACTGACAAAAAAAAATCAAGATCTCACGACCTAATTATGAGATAAATGGATGTCATCAGGCGTATTGAATCGTAAGCTCATGAATGGCGTACTTTTAAGCGAGTTGGTACTTGAATTTTGAGCAGCAAAACATTACGGATCTACATTCAATAGACACGCTTCACCAAAGAGGGTAGAACTCCTACATCTAAATTATATGTCTTGTCACTAAGTAATGGTGATTGCGAGCTTCAACAATGCACCCGCTAAAATCTTTTGCCATTCAGACGACAATTACATCTCAACGTTTCTCGCTTAGAGACAACCACAATATAATTATGAGATGATATCTCAAGATCTACAATATCATCATTGACACTTCAGCATTCACTCCATTCATCCCTCCTTCAGCCCCTCATTTATCCATTTATCCTCGGCATGGCTGATCACAAAGCAAGATAAGAAAATGTAAACAAAGTGAATTCGACTCCGCCTCGTGTCTACTTAAGTGTTCCCCAGGTGACGAATTCGCGCTCGGTCGGTTTTTCTACACGAATAATTCCCGAAACTTTATGTGTTCCTATTGACCACCTCTCGACTCACTGCATATCTCATTGGACAAATTCGAAAAAAAAAATTGTTCTTCTGATAGCTTTCGACTTTTGTCCGGCACTGTCGATATCTTCCTGACAACTTCCGAATCTTTTCCTTAGTCATCAACACTTGACACACCATTTACTCATCGAAACTCTGTCGCTGTCGCATAAAGTTCAGTGACAAAATGGTATACGTTCATGTAGGAAAGACGCCTGTTCCGCAATGTATCGTGCCAAGTTTCTCCAATGAGGTCTTCTATCCTGGAAGCGCCCCTGCTGGTGTTACTCCACAGTACTTCACAACGTTGAATGTCTATCAACAATGGCTGCAAATTTTCGGTCCACATGTTCCTCTTCCTGAAGATGAGCGAAACCTGCCAGGTTATCCTCAAAGTAACCTGTACACGGAAACTGGCGAAGAGGGTCCCAGATATCGGTATTGTAGCAAGGAAAGAGTTTGGAAGCCCAGGTCTTATTTTCCCTTCAGCAATGGCAGGTTTCTGTGTACATGCTTTCAGTGTAAAGGGTCTGATATAAGAAGGGAAGCTAGACGACGGGGAGAATCATTGGAGAACAGGAACGCGGACTTACCACAAGGAATACAGCCAAATCAGGATGTGATAGCTCGATTTTCGCAACCAGGTATGCCCATAGTCAATACAGACCAGCGAAAATACAGTGTTGCCAATTTGCCTTTGATGCCGAAGGCTAAACCATATACTGCCAAGCCTGTACCAAAATGTCCTATGCCCGCACCAGTACTCGCTACACCAGCTCTAGGTCCGGCTAAAGAGACCATATCAAGGCTCGAGGAAATAAAAGTAGCACATTCCGAGACAGAAAGGCTTCGGTCTCGTCTTTTTGGTCATGGGAGAATGAAGAAACTGTTCGAAGCGAATCTAGAAAAATTGACGATGGCGACGGATCGTGTCAGTGAAGAGAGTGAGAACAACAGAGGCAAGAGACTGGCCGAGGCAGCTAGGTTCCAAGACCTCATATCCAAAGAGGATGATCTACTCAATAAAACCCTAAGTGATCTGGATGATCTCAATCTCGCGATTGATCTTATGACCGAATTGAGCAAAGACGATATTGGCTACCGAAACAACAATGAAGATACGGTTCTTCCCAGTGTCGAGAAGGAATGTACTGTCGCACCATCCAATAGCCCTGAGAACTTTGACAATACAAGTGACGCAGGCGTTGAACTTGCTGATCAAACCAACGATTTATTGCGCTTTTCACCAATGCTGCATGGCTATCCTCCACTTGATGAAGATGGTCATGTACTAAGCAACAGTGATCCATCTGGGCAAGATCCTAAATCCGCGAGCGGATTGGACGGCACGGTCGAAAAGGAGTCTGGAGACGGAACAGGGGATGTCGATACGAACTCCGAACTCGATACTCTCGCTACTGTAAGCGCTGGTGTTCCCCATGCTGATTCCTCCATGATTCTTCGAGATCAAGACATAATTGATCCAAACTTCCAACAGCTTTCAAACACCCAAACAAATAATCCTCAACCTCAAGAAATAGTCGACCTTAATCCATTTCGAGCGCTGTCAGACTCCCAAGAGGTTCAAGATCAACATGCTCCATCTTACCAAGCTCAATCTCGTCAACCTTCTCCTCACCAACGATTCCAACTCCAGGCTCGCACACCCTCGGCATCCAGAGACCTCAATCCGCATTGGCCATACCAAGCTTCAGGTCACAATTCGAATCATTCACAGCCCCCTAAAGCTACGAATGCTGCCGCACAACGCTCCCCGCTGACCGCACACACACCTGACTTGAATCCAAACCCCTTCGGAAATCCCAATCCTGCCGCCGTCTTTCAATTTGGACAGTCTACTACGCTGAGAGATTCCGGGCATTATGGTAACAAGATAGCGGAAGATGTTGAGGGAGTTCAGAGTTTAGCCTCACAGCAAACACGAGAAACTGCTAAGCAAGCGCAACAATATCAGCCAAATGGACCGACGAAAACATCTCAGTTGGTGCAAAAGTCAAAAAATGTTTACGGTCAAGTAGCTCAACAGGTGAGGCTGGCTCAAGAGGCTCGAGAGTTACGAGAATCTCACGATGAACTGGCCCAAGAACGACTATCTCAACCGACTAGAGCGGTCCAACAGCCGAAACGAGCTTGCGAACAGCTGGCTCAAGATCCATTGACCGAAGAACAAATAGCTCAAAATGCAACAATCTTTTACGAGCGACAAGCTTCCGAGAAACGAAACCAACAGGATGAATTAACTCAGAAGGCGAGTCTAGCTCACGAGCGAGTGGCCCAAGAGCAGCCAGCTCAAGAACAACCAGTACAACCGAATTATTTGTTCCAACTAGCGAAGCTAGCTTGTGACCGACTCGCTCAGGATCAATTGGCCCAAAAACAACGTGCTGAAAGTGCAAGAGACGCTTACGACCAGATAGCTTACGAGAAACGAACTCAACAAAAGGAATCGACCTGCCAGATGACTCTAACTCATGACCAAATGGATCAAGACCAACTAGCTCAAAGGGCAATGCATGCAAGAGACGTTTATGACCAAATAGCTCACGAGAAACGAACTCGACAAAACGAATCGACCTACGAGACGACTCTAGCTCACGACCAATTGGATGAAGACGAAATGGATCAAGATCAATTCTACCAATACCAACTGGATCAAGACCAACTAGCTGAAGACCAACTGGCTCAAAAGGCAATGGATGCAAGAGACGTCTACGACCAACGAGCTTGCGAGATACGAGATCGAAAGAATATACTAGCGAAACACGTTCACTACGCTCACGACCAACTCTCTCAACTATCTCAGCAAACCCAGCTCGCTCAGCAACATAAACAAGAAATCCGAGTTC